TTGCTTCAGAGGAGACAGAACAGTAACCCAAGTTTACCTAGCTGGAGGGGGCAAGCTGTGAAGCTCTCTGGTCTGGCGCTCTATGAGATATTATATCTGTCTTACCTCATTTAAGCATCAAACACTTACTTCCCATTGTGCAGGTGTGAAAGCTGAGGCACAGGTTGACTGATACAGTCACACTGCTAGAGCTTCCTTCTAAAGCCAGACCACTAGCCATTCTGCATACATTTAAGTAAGTGCAATTCTGAGTCAGCTGCAAAAGCAGGGTCGCCAATGAGTATGTGAAAATAAAGAAAAACCTCATTCAAAGTGGAGTCCCTTGAGGTGGGAGCTCTCTGCATGGACCACCCATTGTAGCTCACTTTACAAACTGTGACAGGAAGAAGCTTACTTCACATACCTTGGCAGGCGTTCAGAAGATTTTTCTCCCTACCCAGCAAGCCCAGCCAATGAGAAACCACCACACTGTCAGCCAATAAGAAGCCACTGCCACCTTGAACTCTTGCTGTCCTCCAGTGGGCTTTTACTCATACCCGCCCATCCCAACTTCCCCCTTTTTCTCTATTAAGTAATACTCCCATGCTCTGTGGAGTATTACTCCACAAGGCCAAAAACATCAGAGTTTGCCCTTTCTTACAAATGGCAGTCAGAGACCAAGTCAGATGACCGGTAGGGAGACTTTACACAAAGTCCTACTTTCGGAAGAGACACAAACCATGGTGAGGAGAGTAATGTGAAGCTCGGATGGAAAGGGAGGCAAAACCATGAGGCAGCCTGCGTGTTCTGTGGGTAAATTTCCTTTCAGATTAACAATGTAAAGGGAGTAGATGCTCACAGAAAATTTAGAAAAGACGGAAATATAAAAAACAAAAATTTTATACAGTAAGTCCTCACTTAACATCGTCAATAGGTTCTGAGGCTTGACGTGAAACCTATTTTACTATGGGCTAATTGATATAAACAAGACTTAAGCTTTTAGAGCATCTCATCAAAGTTATAATGAAATGATGTTATTGGAGGACCTGCTATATGTAACCCTCCTCCACCTGGAGATAGCTGCTATTACCATTTTGGTATATATTTAATCAATTTTGCAGCCATTTATAGACGCTGTTACTATCACTAGTGGCTACTATTTATTGAGTTGTTCTTTTGTTATAGACACTGTCCTAAGTGCTTTACATGTATTAGTTCATTTGTAGTAGGTGCTACTGTCCCCATATTCCCATTTTATAGCAAATGATACTGAGGCCCAGAGAGGGGTAGGATTTGGTCCAGTTCCTTCAGCAGGTGTGCAGTGGGGTCCAGGTGAGAACTCAGGAGACCTGACTCCAAGCCCATGGTTTATACTACTGCCGTGAAATCCCCCTCCCCCCGTTTCCTTCCCCCCGCTCCAGTTTTATTGAGCTATAACTGACATATAGCATTGTATTCGTTTAATGTGTACAACATAATGATTTGTTATTTGCATAAAATTGCAAAATGATCACCATAATAAGTCTACTTAACATCCCTCACTTCACATAGCTACCATTTTTTTCATGTGATGAGAACTTTTAAGATACACCCTCTTAACAACTTTCAAATATACACGACAGTATTGTTAACAGTATAGTTACGATGCTGTACATTATATCCCCAGGACTTATGTATCTTGTAACTGGGAGTTTGTACCTTTTGAGCATCTTCACCATTTTTCCCCTCCTCATTTCCTACAGCTCCCATTTTGCAATCAGGAATGTGAAAATCACCGAAGGTTCAGAGATAACAGAGGAGAGTTTAGAAAGTGGGTAGAAAAGCTTAAAAAGAGCAGCTACCATACTGGCCCAATGACCAACCTGTCTTCTGGCAGCTGGAGGGCCTGTGACATGTTCTGCTCTCCTAAGATGGCCCCACAGCCTCTGTGATTCCAAGCAGAAGAAAGAGGCTTCCTAAAAGGGGTTACAACCTACAACCCCTATAAGAGATGCAGCTGTGCCAGACGGAAGCACTATGTACATTTCCCTCCAGGGCAGATCAGCTTCTTCAAGGCTGATCCTCCCAGTTCCTTCCCCAAAGAGGCAGCAACCTGGAGATTGAGTTACGCCCTCCCTAAGAAAGAGGAACTGCTTGCTCCTTCAAAATGGCAGTTTTCAAAATATCGATGTGAAAATCCAGCTCAGCTAGAGCACCCCAAGAGTCCACCAAATGGGACCTCGGAATGTGTTATGCCGTTGTTTCACTCATGATAGATCACAAACATATTTTTCCAGAAAAGATTCTTTTACATCTTGATTTTAAATGTTGCACTGTATTCCACCATGCAAATATAGCAACATTTACCAAAGCAAATCTGTCGGACGTTTGGTTCATTTCCAATATTGGCTATTATATTTTAAAGCTTTAAGAAGTAACCATGAAGCAAAAAAAACAGCACACTCTTTATTTCCTTGGAGAAATTCCAGGACGTGGTATTGCTGGCCAGACAGGACACACGGTTTTAAGGCTTTCGACAGAAAACTCCCAAACTTCCCCCTACAGAAATGTTCAAGATATTCTCTCCACCAGCCCTGGTGAGAATAAATCACACGACTTTTAATGAACTACTGACTAGCGCTGAAAAGACCACTGTTGAGGGAGCCTTTGAATAGAATCGGTATAAAGAACAAAAAGCTTCTTAATCATTTCACCAGCAGATGGCACTCTTTGCTAAGATTTTAGAGCGGGATTCCGGGTACAGCGTCTCAGGGCTAAATCTGCCATCAGGGAAGTCAGGTACATACCTCACAAAGCAAAATTGCAGGAGCAAATCTAGGACGTTATAACATGAAAATCAATCGGCAGTGGTGGCAAAACAGTGGGATCTTGGGATCCCGTAGGACTTTGAAAACGCTCCTGGGATGTTGTCACCCTTCCAGCTATTAAGGTCTCCTACAGCTTTCCAAGAGCCCCTCATGGGAGGCACCTACATTCCAAGCACACATGTGTTCTCTCCACCTCCCTTGTTAATTCTCAACTCCAGGAAAGCAGGATTAGGCCAACCCAGTTCCTTCTGACTAGCTCTCTGGGCCCTTAACAGTATAGTTACAATGTTGTATACTATATCCCCAGGACTTATTTATCTTGTAACTGGGAGTTTGTACCTTTTGAGCATCCATGGCTTATCACGGCTGTAATTTTACACTTCCATGTGTGATTATTGATTACATCCCTGTTGCTGTAGGTCCCATTCACTGTCATGTGCCAGGAGCCCGGTGTAGTGGCCAGCACAAGGGTCACACCCTGCGGGTGTCAGCTGCGTGAATCCAGGTGGAGGTGGTGGGGACCTTGTTAGAGATTTGGCAAATGGTCTCCTTCCTTGCAAAATGAAATCTCTCCTGAGATTGTCAAGTCTTAACTGCTATGAATGACAGAAACTTAACAGCAGTCTAGAGGTGAATAAAGCACAGAAAGAAGGGTGGGAGAATAACTAAAAGTACACATAGGTTCAGGGGTCATCAGAAGGATGTGGTTTCAGCTCACTTACAGGTCAAAGTTACATCTCTCCGCTAAGCCTTAGTTTCCTTGTCTACATAAATGGCTCTAATAACAGCACCTACTCTATTAAATAAGAATTTGCACTTCGAGGGCTCAGCACAGTCCCTGGTACCCAACAAGGGCTCTGTTAAGTTTGCTTGGTCACTACAGCTCAGTCTCCTGCCAAACAGCACTTTCTGAAAGGACAGTGAGAAGAAGAGTGAAGGGATTATTCTTATTACCCCAAGCCACCAATTTACACATCTTGCAAGTTATTGTATTAATAGTACTTGTGTTGTGTGCCTTCTGGCTGCCAATATTTTGATTGGTTCTAACGTTCCAGGAGAATGGCTGGAATGCTGGAAGGGGGTGTGGAAGGTCCAGAAATGACATGCTTTGACTAAACTCCCCGAATCCAGACTCCGTTAAGTTTTTTCTCTGTGCACGTGTCAGTTTAATCAGCAAGTATTTTGGATTCTTTCTTGCTTCCAGACCTAGGGTGGCTGGTCATCCTGTACTCCACTCCCTCTCTGACTTCTGACTCTCAGCTCTGGCTACCTGGCCACCCTTACTACCTAAGGTGTCTCTCAGGTTCTTCAAGAATAACAGGCTAAACTAGATTTGGGGTTGGGGTTCTCAGGGTGCTCTCTCTGAGAATCTCCCATTTTGTTCATTTGACTGAGCTCATGCAAATTCCTGTTTTCCCAAAGGCCGAGTCACTGCTTCTCAAAGTTGTGTGCCCCTGAATGCTGTTCTTTGGTAAGATTTCCCTTGGGATAAACTAGGAATTTCTGAGCCCAGGAATCAGCTCAGAATATAACTAAAGCGTTTCCCCTCCTCTGAGCTCGGCTCACTCAGCCATGTGATTCAGTAAACCAGGCCCCAGCTGGACCACGAGCTTCCTACAAGAGGGGCCGTTTTGATCCTCTTCATATCTCCCAGGTCCCCGGGTGCAGGCAGGCCTTCTCTAAGCACCAATGTCAGGGGTCACCCCAAATCCCACCCTTCCTGTGCTGTGGCCCCAGGCCGGCCCTGCTACACAGCCTGAGTCGCCTTCCGGCTTGCACGGGCGGCGGGGGTCCCCAGGTGTGCGTTCGGGACCACAGCAGGAGTAGGGCTGGGGCGACGCGGGAGGTGGTGAGGAGGGCGCTGTACACAGCGCCACTCTCCCGGAACCACGCGGGGCCGGGACAGTACTCCAGGCTGGCCAGGCAGCACGTGCGCGGAGAACCAGCGCTGAGGGGGCGGGGCTGGCGGGGCTGGGCGGTGCCCACGGGCAAGCTGGGCGGAGCGGCAGGTACAAGCAGGCGCCTCGCCGGGAAAGGGGCGATGGAGGAGCTGGGCCTGGAGGGTCGGACCTGGAGGCGGGGCGTAGCCACGAGGCGAACCGCGGGAGGCGGGGCGCAGCAGGGCGGGGCCTGGCGAGCGGAGGGGCGTGGCCGGGCAGCAGCCTAGAAAAGAGGTGGCGGAGCCGCGGGAGAAGTCCTCTCAGATCGGCTGCGCGCACCTCGTGTCGGTCCGACAGGCGGCGCGGCAGCATGGCGGGCGCGGGCCCCAAGCGGCGCGCGTCAGCGGCTTCCGCGGCGGTCAAGGAGGAGGAGCAGCAGGCGCGGGAGCGGATGCTGGCTGCGCAGCGAGCAGATAGCGCGGAGGGCGCGGGGGGCGCGGGGGGCGAGGGCGTGACCCTACAGCGCAGCATCACGCTGCTCAACGGCGTGGCGATCATCGTGGGGACCATCATCGGCTCGGGCATCTTCGTGACGCCCACGGGCGTGCTCAAGGAGGCCGGCTCGCCAGGACTGGCTCTGGTGGTGTGGGCCGTGTGTGGCGTGCTCTCGATCGTGGGCGCGCTCTGCTATGCGGAGCTGGGCACCACCATCTCCAAGTCGGGCGGCGACTACGCCTATATGCTCGAGGTCTACGGCTCGCTGCCCGCCTTCCTCAAGCTCTGGATCGAGCTGCTCATCATCCGGCCCTCCTCGCAGTACATCGTGGCGCTCGTCTTCGCCACCTACCTGCTCAAGCCGCTCTTCCCCACCTGCCCCGTGCCGGAAGCGGCCGCCAAGCTCGTGGCCTGTCTCTGCGTGCGTGAGTAACGGCGCGGGACCCGGCCTGAGGGGGGAGGGCGAGCCGCGTAGCCTCATGCCCCGGCCATTCCAAAACCCCGGCCGTCCCCGCAGCCCTGGGCCATCCCTGGGCCTCCTGAGGCATCCCCAGGCCGTTCCAGCAGTTCTAGGCAAAGGCCAGTGGTCCCAGAACCCACGTGCGTCTCATTTATTTGTTTACACATCACCTGGGAATTCCGCAGTGACACAAGCTGGGTCGGGTGTTCCACTTCCCCACCTGCTCCATTCAGATCCGTTGGAGCTGAGTAATATCTTCCGCAATGCCCGTGGTGTCTGAAAATGTGAATTTCCAGTTGGAGCTTCCCAATGCTGTTTATGGAGACAGAAATTGTAGTTAAACTTTCATTCATTTCAGCTCTTCAAACCACCTTACAGGAATTGGCAGAGGCTGACTCATACAAAAACCATAGTAATAAAACTGCTGATTAAATTTGTGTTGGGATGGGTTTGGGGGGGTCCCATGTTGTTCTGACAAACAGCCATTGGCCATAGTCCTAATGTTTGGTGGGCACAATGTTATTAGTATGTTGGTGAGCATGGTCCTGATGTGTTGGCTGGCAGTCACAGTCTGGTATGTTGTTGGATACATGTTACATAAAATTTCCCAGAGACCAAAGAAAGAGGCTCACAACTCCATCATTACATCAAGAGTTTATTACGGGAACTTATATACCAGGCACTTCTGGACAGTGGCAAAACAACATGGATATCCGTGCCACGTGCCAGGCGCTAAAGGATTATATAGGATAGGGCAGGATGGATAGGGGTACTGGAGTGTGACCCACCCCAGATAAGGGGAAAACACTGCATACTTGCCCAGGGGAGGGCAAGGGCCTGTTCCAGGAACCAGCATATCTGGGGCATAAGGGAGGGGTCTGGGACATAGGGAGGACCGTCTCTGAGGGGATTTATGGGATGGAATCTCTGTTCTGGCCCAGATCTAGCTGGACCTAGCACAAAGGTTTGGCAGCGGTCAGGCCGCAGTCCCCATCATGGGACAGTCTCCCTACGACACTATGGTGTTAGTATGTTGGTAGCCATAGTTCTGGTATGTTGGTGGTCACAGTCCTGGTATATTCTTCATCCAAGAGTGAAACAGGCCATAGAGAATTGCTGCTTTGCAAAGTTTTCTTGTGGGATTTCAGAAAAAAATCATTTGTACTATGTGCCATGTGATTTTCTTTTCAGCCGTTGGCAGTTTTTCCACCTAACCCTTGGTCAAACTCTAGGGAGGCTTGCAACATGGGAGTGGCCTGCTTTCAGAGCTGCCACCTGATTTGAAGATTTGTGTCAAATCTCGCTTGTGCAAATAGATACAGAGCTAGCAGGGTACACTCATGGTCCTAGCCATGAAATTCAGGGACTCGGCAGTTGGAGTGGCTTCCGCCTGGCTATGTCTACTGGTGCTGTTGGGCTTGTGGACTGAGTTTCTTGCATCAGCCTCACTGTGGTGTGGGGGCAGGCCAGAGGGACGCTCTGGAAAGTGGCGTATCCAGAAGACAGAACTCAATACAGAACTCTGGCTGCCTGAAATCATATACTTTCCTGAGACCCTGAATAGGCAGGCAGTCATGCCAGGTGAAGGGACAGTGTTTGCCTTTTGGGAGATCTCAGCGATCTCCCAAAAAACTTTGGGAGATCTTTGGTCCACATCTAGGAGTAGTCATAAAAATGGTTAACGTGCCTGAGACTAAGAAAGCCTGCGGCTTCTGGTGAGCTTTGAGCTGAGCGTTTTATGGTATGATGCGTTGGGCTGAGTAAGGAAAAGCCCCTCTAAAGGTGAAATAGATGACTTGTTGGGTTGTTTTATCATTAGAAGAATTTTAATTGTCCAGTTTTCATCATTGCTAGATTATGATACAATGTTTGGGCTCAATATGTAATGAAATAGATATTATCTTTAAAGGGCCCCCTCTCTAGTCTTTAAAAATGGATCCCTTATTTCTTTAAATTTTGGCTTTAAGTAGGGAAGTCCTCAGACAGATTCTAGAAGGGCTACCATGAATGTGCCCTGGCCAGTGCTCCAGGTCACTTGCAGCACTGCGGGCCCCGTTGGGAGGGTCATGTCAGTAGCACCCCTCTCCGTAAGAGTGAGGATGACGTTTTTCCACGTGTTCATCAGCCTTCATAGCTCTTTTTCTCAGAACCACCCCTGTGAATGTGATACACGTGTGTGTACATGTAGGGGTTTTTCTGATGGAAAGAGGGGTTTTAGTAACAGAGATGTGCTGTCTGCAAGGGTGAGCGCTAGTCTAGAGCCTGACTCCGTCTGGAGAGGGACATGGCTTATCCAAGGCTGACAGAACTCAGCCGACTGGACTGGCATGGCTGCTTTTACGCTGTACAGAGAAAGGTTATGGTTGTCCAAGGAGGGGGCCTGCCTTTGTAGGGGGCTTTTGAGAAGGCAGTGAAAAGCCACAGAAAGTTCCTGAGTGTCCCTTAATTACTGCACAAAAGCTGGGTTCTAAAATTTCTCCTTAAGACGAGAAAGGGTGCTCTACACCGCTTTCCTCCTGGAGCCCATTTCTGCCGTAGGTGTGTGTCCCAGCGTGGCTTTCAGGCCGAGCAGCAGCCTGTGCTGGTGCTTTATGAAAGGGCCCTGGGGCTGCCTTTTCTCCAGCAGTGTGTCGTGGCTTCTGGAGCATAGTTCTCATTGTGCCGGTTGATCTTTTCAGTCCCCTGGGCATGTCCCACAAGTTTCTTTCTGCTTGTTAAAAAAATCGTGTTGTGAAACAGGTTGGCCTTGGTGCTTAGAATGATCCTGGAGACAGTATAAATGGGGGGAAGGGGGGAATTCCTTTCCTTGTAGGTCTGACAGAGATGACAAGATGGGCCCTTTCTTGGTGTGGCTCTGGTGTTTTCACCTTTTTAATGCGTCATAAAGGTGAGAAGCTAGCTCCATAACTTTCTCTTCACAGCCATGTGGAATTTGGTATGAGACTAGGTTTACATGGGTTATGTATTGCTTAACAGAAACTTGTTAGCGTTTGCTTGAAATTCAGGTGAGCTGGGGTTTTGCGTTTGCGGCAGATGTCACTCAGGCTGGAGGTAGGTTCTCACTGGCTGGGTTTGCCTTGGGTAGTTTATCCTTCCTCCCTGGGCCACTTTCTCTACAATGGGACAGCGGTGTCTGGAGTGGCCCAGGCTGGAGGCATAGGTGAGGGCCGGCCCAGGGTAGGGTCTTGTAGGTGGGAGCGGCTGTGGTTCAAAAACATAACTGTGGCCTAATTGGTCCTTTATCTCAAGGGAGAAGCTCTCAGAAAGAAGGGGTCTGAACCGGCCCACTTCTCCCTCTGCGGAGTCGTGGAAAAGACTTGGAGCCTATCTGAGTCACGGTCACTCCTGTCCAGGATGTGTAGGTATTAGGGAAGTGGGTGCAGACCGCTGGCCATCCGCCTTCCTCTCTCCATCTCCTAGTTGGGTGGAGGGTAGGACCATGCTTGCTGGGACAGCCCCCGCATTCAGACTTGCTACTTACTTGCAGCCCTTAGGGTAGTCTGCTGGTGGCCGAGAATGGGACTCTGAGCACTGGGTACCCTTCCTGTGTGGTGCTCCCCCCGACCCCGAGTTCTGGAGAGTACTTTCTTCCTTTTGGAGACAGACGAGGTAGCCAAGGCTCCCCTAGACTGAGTTAGCCCCGCATCACCACGTAGGCAGATCCGCATGGGTGCAGAATAAGGGTTCCTTAGCTGTTGTTCCTCTGGGGACCCATGACCTGAGATATTTTCTACCTGGTGTCAGGTAAAGAGCCTATCTGAGCACATGGACAGACCTGTGTTCTGTTTCAAGAAATTCATGGGGATCTCCGGGCCCATAAACATACATGAAATGGGGATTTGTCACAGCCCTGCCTGGGTATTTGTGAGCACTCCAGGCCATGGTGTATTTATGGTGGCACATGGGGACCCAGGTGGCTGTGACTTATTCCTCACACTGCCCTCTGGTGTTTACCTGTAACATCTCAAGCTGCCCCAGAACTTGCTCTTTTCTGGTTTAGAGAAAAGAAGGAAGGAGAAAAGGAGGGAAAAAGAGAGAGGTGCATGCCGGCATTTCCTGTTGGGGTCTGAGCTGACGAGGTGCCCGTCACACGTGTGTCAGTCCCGCTAGCCTCGGGCTTTCTTGGAGGGTGGGGAGAGAAATGTCAGCTTGCTGTCAGCTCCTGAGGTGGGGGTGAAGGGCATAGAGGAGGTGTGGGTTTGGTGTATGTGGGGTGAGCCGTGGCTAGCTGACTTGCAGGCAAGTTGATCAGTTGGGGTGATGACCAGAGCAGGGAGGGGAGACCATGGCAGCACCCCATCCCCCTTTCTTCTAGCCCCCTGGCTTGTCTCCATCACTGCCAGGCGGTGACCATACTCCTGGGGGTGTGGGACACCACACGACATGTCCACCACTGTAACCCCGAGACCCCAACCTGGCTTGTCACAGTGAGGCCTGTGGAACAACTCCCACCTGGTTCGAGGTGCCTGGCTGCCTGCCAGCTTCCATGGCTGAGCCCCTTGATTTGTGCGGCAAAGGCTTCTGGGTGTTTCCAAGAGCTGGTAACCCCAGAATCGGCAGCCATGAGCTCAGTGCAGACGTCAGCCCAGTAATTAGCACTGAAATCCGACTTGTCTGCCAGACATGAAAGTGCTCCGGCCGCCAGAGCAAGTCAGGAGGAGTCACAGGACTGGGGCTGAGGCCTGTTGGGTCCTTCACAAAAGCATGTGACCCCCATGGAGGTGGGAGATGCCGGCCAGCATTTCTAACCTTTTTCCCCCAGGACATGGTTCCCTTTGATAATTCCATGGAATGTGCGGGCTCTGCCTAGAACTGTGTACCAGGCACATTCACTCCAAATTGTGTGGTCATGGGATACTCAGGCCCAGATTGGAAGCCACCCCCTTAGGCCCTGAGAGGTGACCCCATCATAACAGAAACGACGTTTTCTAGCTGGCGTGAAATCAGTGTTGGCATCCCCATTTT